AGGGGTCTCTGTCAGCACTCTCTAATTACGTGTGACGTTTCCATGCTGGACCACCGAGGACAATTCCACTGCGCTCTCTCTCTCTCTCTCTCACACACACACACACACACACACACACACACACACACACACACACATATATACAAATAGCGAGGCTTAATGATACAGAGCTGTGATTGCCAGCTGCCTGCTATGATAGAAACCCTCCGTGGTCCTCTCCAACATAAATCAATGTCAATTACCTCCCCAGAGTGCATTAGACACTTTCCATCCCCGGTATGGCTTGTAGACATATTTTCATCTCACGCCAAGCTTACAGCGGCCCCTCTCGCGTGCAGTAATGCTTAAAAAAAAAAAGACTAAAATGCATGCAGATCATGTACTGCTCATTGTCTCACATGGAATGCAAGTCATTTGTTGCACATAGTTGCATTGTGTCTCATCCTTGCCAGCAGTATCACAGGGTGGTGAAAATGAGTTGTAGGGAAGGCACATGCTGGTTGACCTTGATGCACGTGTGCATGTACACACAGGAGCTCTTACATTTGGGTTTTTGTAAGCTTATGCATGCATATTAATATTGATGGCTTTGTCACTGAGAGGCAGTTATTTTTAGAGAATAACCGCATGTTTCTTTGTGCGCGCCTTCTTTCAGCTTCTATCTGAGGCGTTTTTCTCTCCTGTGGTCTCCAGTCTGTTTTCCCTTGTCACGAAACTCAAATGACAGGTAAAAAGGGTACCATGGAAGTGGAAAAAAAAAATCCAGCAGGATGCCAATCCAGCAATCAGAGGCATGCGATGATGAGAGGGCGAGAGACAGTAGAGGCTGAATGAATAATTGATAGCGAGTGAAATGCTGTTCCCACATAATATCGTCATGCTCTGAGCACCTCACCTGTTTTCACTGACTGTTCTTAGATGAGTAGACATGCTGATATGAAACAGCAGTTATTAAAGGCATCAAAAGGATACAGGGTGTCTCAGTAGTGGAGCTAAACATATTTTAAATAGCAGTCATCAAATCCAGTAACAGTGGTGGATTACAACTGATCCTTTTTGCTAAGGAGGGAGGAAAAGTGAACATTGACACATATTTTAAATGCACACGTGACGTGAGCATTTCAGCCAAGAAGCAGATCACAATCTAGTATTCCTTGAAAAAAAAAAGCACTTTGAATATCAGCAATATGGTTCATAAAACATGCTACAAAATTCCTTAAATGCAGCATACATAGCAGATAGGCTTTGTCAGAACTAGGGGGTATGTAAGGCAGCAACTAGAATGCCCAGCATCTCGTTACTGTTGAGCGGAATCCTCATATGGTCAAAATGGCAAATTTGCAGGAAATCTCCCCAAAATGCCAGCTTGCTTGAGTTCCATAACATTGCTTTGTTCATGTTGTATTATACCTCGTAATGCGGTCATATACCAATGCACAATCGCATTCACACAACTCCATGCCAGAAATGCATTCAATCACAAGTTTCATATGCTGAAAAAAAATTGCTAGTTTATTACGCTGGCATTGATTAAAATGGAGCCTGGAGCAGCCATGCACGTCAGAGGTGTTAAAAGCACACATTGTAGAAAGCCTTTTATTACAAAGTAGAGCACAAAACAAAGGTTTGTCCTGCGTCATCTTTGCAAACTCATTCTTTAAGGTCTTCACCATTTTATATTGGTTGATACTGCATACAAATAACAACGTTGGTACGATGCTGACGGGCCATCAGTATTGATTTGTGCAAAAAATATTTGACCACATTTGGATATATGATGTTTTCACCGGACAGCGACGATATGCTATAATTTTTATTCCCTGAAAACTAGTTTGCACTCAGTGAATGTGACAGTGTGTGCTCGTCTTTCGCTATGTGTATCCCATTACTGTCTGGAGGCCGGTTCAAAGTGTCGTCTGACTTTTGCCCACAGCCGGGAGAGGCTTCCAGCTCCCTGTGAGCCTGAATAGGGTATGCGGTATAGGAATGATCATGATTATGAAATGATAGAATATAAAAGTGTGTCTAAAACTTTGTTTCATAATGAAACAAACAGTGCATTTTATGATAGAATATAAAAATGTGTCTAAAACTTTGTTTCATAATTAAACAATGAGTGCATGTGAGAACAAAGCTGAGAATTAACAAGGACAGCTGCCTTTGATGTCCTTGATTTTTTTTTTACACCGAACACTTTAAAAGAAAAAGTTCCATTTTCAAAAATCACTTTTTTCCGTCTTTTGTGAGCCTTACAAAATGTAAAGAAAAAAAAAAGAGCAAAAAAAAAAAAAAAGAGGCAGAGGGAAGGAGGGAAAGATGCTATACTTGGCAAGAATCATAAGTGATACATTTTTAAATACTTTTCTTGACTTTTATACAGCTGGTCTCTGTGTGAGCCAGGAAATGATCGCCTGTAGATGACTAAGCAGAATTGTTGATTCTTATATGAGCACTGGTGTGAGGCTGCTTACTCTACTCGACAAGAAGGTGCACTGAATGAAGGTGTATAATGCTATATTAGCATGTAACGATTGGCGCTAGCTAGCCTCCCTGGGGGTTAGCTGTCGTATGCTTGTCACTTGCTATCAAAAGGTAGACTAGTGTGTGTGTGTGTGTGTGTGTGTGTGTGTGTGTGTGTGTGTGTGTGTGTGTGTGTGTGTGGGGAGGTGGGGTTGTGTGTGTGTTTTACATTACATTTGAGGTTAAATTCATTTAACATTTGCTTGGAATGTGGAACAAATGATTTCAACGAAAATTGAAAGTCAAATAAATGAGAGTTTGACCAGAGTTATTGAATTGATAGTGGTAATAATTGAAGGTGCTATTATAAATGAAATACATTGACCTGCGTTAGTTGTGGTGATGGTTATGCAGAAGATGATTAACCGCCAGTCCTTCACATCACGGCGATGCACAGCTCTCATTCCACTGTACATTCCATTCTCTCTTCTTTTCAGGTTGTTGGCAAGCCATTTTGTACCGTAAAGACAAGGTTAAGATGTCTGAACTCTTTTCTTTCATCACAATTGATTCCATTTCCAGTTCTCTAGTTGTAATTAACCTTTTCCACGTTGTCATATACACACAAAGAAAAGAAAACTACACTCTGTTCAAGGTTTGGAGATCAAAAAATGTTATGTCCAATGCAGTAATACCAGTGCAGAGTGGCAAACTCAGTTCTCAGGTTCACCAGACTTCTGACACATAAACCACACAGACAAATGGAATGGGTCTATAGATCAATTTCATTTGTGAAACTATTTTCCGGTGTACATTTCTCCACTATATAATCAGTTCTGTCATTTTCACAAATGTCTTTGTGTTGTACACGAATACAAGTGTGACCGTGTGCAGCTATGTAAGTCATGAGTAGTTGTACAGCTTCTTTGATCCATTTGTCCTTCCATTTTCTGATCTGCTGATCCTCATGAGGGACTCGGGCGTGTTGGCGCCTAACCCAGATGTCTTTGGGCAGCGGGCGGGGTACACCCTGAACTGGTTGCCAGCCAATTACAGGGCAGGCATAGATGAACAACCATCACAATCACACTTAGGGACACTTCAGAGTGATCCATTAACCTGCCATGCATATTTTTGGAATATGGGAGGGAATCGGATGACCCGGAGAAACCTACGTAGACACAGGGAGAAGATGCAAATTCCACATAGGAAGGCCAGAGCCGAAATCAAAATCTACACCTCTGCACTTTGAGGTGAATGTGCTACCCAGCTAAGCACTCGCTAGTTTTCTGTTTTATGGAAATGAATATTATTGTTCTTGCTAGCATGTGTCCTTGAGGTGTCCTTGAGCAGAAATCCTCTCCTTGCAAGAATGTCATCACACTTCTACAAAATTTACAAGCACACACACACACACACACACACACACACACACGAGCAATCCTGACTGAAGATCGTCTTTGAGGCTGGATTGACCTCACCTTCTCTGATCAGTCACATCAGCGGAGTCCGTGTTACCTCCTCAGTTCTTGTACATGTGTGGAAGTGTCTTGTAAAAGTTGCCGCAAGGGTAAAACGAAGCCTTTCCTGTGTCCTTTGAAAAAGTTTATTCAAGTCCTGTTTCACTTTTTTCAAGTCTACAATGTCCTTTGTCAGTCAGAGCAACGTACATCTGAAAAGAAAGAGAAGAAAAGGATTTTATAGGAGAATGAAAAGATGCATAATGTAAGATGCTTTGTGCTTTCCGAAAAATAATAGCATAGGAAATGGCGAAAGAATAAAATGGAAAGCGAGAACGCAGAAGGGGCTGTGCGATGTGTGAGCAGGTGCAGCAATAGCAGAGGATAATGGATAATATGAGCAAAGGGATGACGGTTTAGATTCCTCTTTTATCCTCTCTCTGAGCCTTGACCCCATTGGGGCAACGAGAACAGGAGAGAGGAAAAACAAAGATTCTCCACAGCCATCATATGTGAAGGACCAGCAATATACTGTAAGATGTGTGAACAGAAGCAAAGCAAAGGAATTTAGCGGAAATAAAAGAGAATTTGAAGATTCAAAAATGACCTTGGAATTGAGCAGGTTGTCCTGGAGATACAATCAGTTCAGGCATGTTCGAACTCATATGGCGGGACGAACACATTGGAAGAAGGATTTGGTCCAAAGATTGCACATATGTGACCCAACTGCTTCAAATGTCATTGGTCGTTTCTCATGTCCAGTCCTTGTTTTCCCTACAAGGTTTAGTCCACTCATACCTTTTTATTAATTTTTTTGTTCTAATATGTTAAAATACTCTACCTGTTCCTGAGTGAAAACATATGTGATATGTGCACACCCAATGGCTCAAAAAAAAAAAAAAACCTCAGCCCACATGAAAAGGCATTTTCAAGATACTATGTGCTATTGAACCGCCACCTCTGCCTTGCTTGAACGATGAGCTTTGAATGCACATAAATATGCTAAAGTTAGTGTAACACCGTAGACACCCTTCGGCATTGACAGCTAACATGTGTTGTGTCTTGTTTTCTTGTCTTCAGGCACTTCTTATTCAAGACATCGTCAGGGACCACCCCGTTGTTCAGTAGCTCCTCTCCTGGCTACCCTCTTACTTCTGGAACGGTGTATTCTCCACCCCCTCGTTTGCTACCCAGAAACACGTTTTCCCGCTCAGCCTTCAAGCTCAAGAAGCCGTCCAAGTACTGCAGCTGGAAATGTGCAGCGGTGACGGCCATCGCTGCAGCTGCTTTGCTGGCCATCCTGTTGTCCTACTTTATTGGTAAGGAGTCTTTTAGTAGTATCACTAATCCAGAAGTTCCCATTTCAAGCAGACTCTGAATGAGATATCCCTTCTGAATAGGAATTAAACGTACAGACACTCCACTCAGACAGTGCAGGTAAATAAAATGAACGTAGGTGCACATACATTTTTTTTTTTACCTCAGAGGAAAACCGGGTGTGCAAACGGGCTCACTGAATGAACTACGTAGTGAAATATGTAAATGATTTCACACAACCTTAACCTTTAACCCTAACCAGCAAAACTGAGCACATTACGAAACAAATTGCGATGTCACTTTCAAAAGAAGTACTGAAAAACAAATAAATGAACAATGACAATGCCGCGAAACCTCTATGATCGCATATTGTTCAGTTGTACAACTCTTGTTGTTTTCCTCTTTTGGAAATAAAAGAATAGCAACTTGAAAGTAAACTCACTGTGCTGTCGCACATAATCAGCCGACTTGACTTGGCGCTGTTCTCTGTGGTATGGGCACTACACATACACAATACACATTTACAGGAGAATCCCCAATTTCCACCACTCCACTGTGTCAATCTCGACACCGGCAGCAGCTCCGTCGATGCACATTGAGACCAACCTGGTGCTCTACTTGTCCGTTGATCCACAAGGATAGCATAGAATTTACTAAAAGTCCATTGATGATGTTCTAAGTGGTTAGACTTGCCCACATCTATTTTCATAAATTTTAGGCACATTCCTCATCCTTCATTTTGGCACCCATGATTTATTTTAGCCACAAATGTGCACAACTGTGCACCACTTTTGTACACTTCTGGTCACACAGGATTCACTGGAGTGCGGCACAGGAAGCCAATCAGATGAAATGTGTGTGTCTGTTGGTGTTGTGGTAGAAGGTGCGGGCAGTTGCGTCACAGAGCTGTTGATTGGCCTCTTATGCCAGAGACAAGAATCATCAGAGAGGGGTGATGAAGCCAATGCAAAAGTCACATCAGCAGAAACGCACACCCCCGCCCAACCCTTTATCGTCTTCACATAACTTATTTACAATGTCTGACTTACATTATTGATATCCATGTATGTATACATCCCAATCCACCTATCCCAGGTCCCCAGATACCCTCTCTTGATTTGTCCAGAATGTGACTTTAAATATGGGTGTGCACGATACACGCGTGCCATATTCGTTTCCGTTTGTGCATCTGTACGTGTGTTTTTGTGTGTGCGTGCATGTGTGTGGGGCGGGGGGGGGGTCTGCCCACACTTCACCTCTACCCACAGAGTGCCCTTGAGAGTCCTCCTGAGCAGATCAAGGCCCCTCGCCCCTGGCTTTAAGACAGATCCTTTCTCTCCTGGGCTTTCACGGTCACACTGCACTGGACAACCACATATGGAGCTATGCAGCTGGGATTGCAAGGGGGAGGAGGGGATCTGCCCTCCTCAAATGCCTCCCCCATCATGCTAAAGCAGCACATACTGTCGATGCAGATTATTTATCATTTTGCCCACCTTTTTTTATTCATTGGATGCCTCCATTTCAATTCTTTATTGCACGACATACGGGTTCAGATAATCGTAATAAGATGATGCTAGAGTCTAATGAGGAACATGCATTGGTTTATGTGTGCTACGTTCTCAGAAATAGACATTCTGATTAATTAAATAGGCCAGCCGTAGCTTAGCTGAATAGAAAATATTCTGGCCCCGGTTCTCCTGACCGGCAAAGTGCGGGCGGGTGTGCGTGCGTGTATGTGGAGGGATTGATTGATTAATGTCCCCTTCCCTTCATATCCCTCCTCTAATCTAGCTATTTATCTAGCTCGCTATCATGACTGAGGTGCCCTGAAGAACGACTCACTGTTGCTCTCTGTGTGCACTCCTGTGATGGCTGAAATGCGGTCGTAAATGTCATGTATTCCTGAATGTTACAATAAAAAAAGAATACCCGCTTGAAATAACAAGAACAGTGAATATGTGTGTTTGCTCTATTTTAATGCATTTTAATTGACCTGTGTAAATTGGAAAAATAAATTCATTCACTATTCAAGGAATATTTGATACGATTGTAAACATGAGTTTTTCTGTATAATAGTCGAGCTGGTTATAATTCAGCCCGCAACGCACAATAGCTCAGTTATTCTTAATTTAGAAAACTCCAAGGCCGTTTTCAGCTGTTGTAAAGGGATGCTTTTGATGTTTTGTCTGAGCTGAACAGAATTCGAGCAGAGCTGCCAAGCCTGAAACCCTTGTGTTTACCTAGCTTTTTGTTGCAGTAATCGTGCAGTGAGTTTCAGTCGAAAGAGTTCACTGCTCATAAGGGGATTTTCTACATCGTTTTTGTGGTGTGTGTGTGTGTGTGTGTGTGTGTGTGTGTGTGTGTGTGTGTGTATTTAGAGCATGGTGCTTACTGGTAGGATTGAACAGAGTGCCCAGAGCCATGCAGCGTGAAGAGGACCTCTCTGAGGCGCTCGCCCAGGAGCCCCCCTCATAAATTACACCAGGACACATGTGCCTGAACAGCACTTTTCTTCTTTGTTGGTGCATGTGTGTTTTTGTGTGAGCACATGCGACAGGATGGTCACGTGGAACTCAATTCCCATTGTTTTACCACGAGTGTACTGGCCTTCTTTCATATTCTTTCCCTCTCAGCACGCAAATTTTGATCGCAGGGGGCTTTATGTGTCCCTAAACTTTATGCGGATTTTTTAAAAAAAGTCCACTTTTTATTTTCTAGCGCATTACGTTTTTGTGATATATTCGTTTTTTTGCTTTTAATTTTGACCTATAACAGCTTGTGCAATACGGATTCTACCATGCGATGTAATTTATAGCTGTTTCTGAACTTAACCCTTAACTGATAAATATTACTAATATTGCACATTACACTTTTGCAGTTCTGAAAATAGATGGAAGGAGGCGATATTTTTTTATGTCTTTTTTTCTATAATTATTACTATTGTACACACAGAGCTTCAGAAATTCTTACAGAAACGGAGGGACCTGCTCTGCCTTAAAACAGACGAGAGACTACAATAGAGAACAATTTGAGATGATTGAAGTCGATCTTGCAGAAAGCCATGTCGATGGAAAATGTAGATAACTGTGAGTATGCTTGCGTTCGTGTGTGCCTCCACATTGCTCTACTCTTCTAGCTGTTTGTGTTGGCCTCGTGAGGAGGCAGAACTGTACTAAATAAATGACAAAATGAAAGAGCTTGTTCTTCATTCGCCCTACGTCTGCTTTACTTGTTCCGAGCACCAGAGCAAAAGGAGAGGTTGTTGCTAGGATACAGGTGAGCGGCTGGCATACAGGAGCAGATGCAGGTCCGTCATCATGCACGGCAAACTGCCGACAAAGAGGAAGGCAAAAGGGCAAAAAAACGAGAAATGTGTGTAATGGAGTTTGGAACAGAGAGGGCAGATGGGAAGAAGGAAAATGTGTCATTGTCACCATGTTGCCAAAACTTCAGCGGGAAACGAAAGGAGGATTGATGACTGAAGACACAGGGAAGAGTGAGACTGGGGCTGCTCCATAAGAGGCGAGGGCAAAAGACTCTGTGGTGTGGGGTAGGTGATTTACTCAAAAAGGGTTTGTTGCTTGCTTCCCAGACAAGAGCGTGAAGTAATGGAAACCGGTTTTAGGAGTGGCAAGAAAGCCAGATGCGGAGAGGAGAAACTGAGGAGAGGAGAGATGGAAGGGAAAGCAGCCTCCCGAGCTTAGGTCGCCTGGAATATCAGTGAGACTAATGTTTCTTAATTGATCACGGCGAACACCGAACAGAGGGTGTGTGACTGAGTCAGAGAAAGGACAGAGTGACTGTGAAGGACACCAGTAGGGCCAGGATGACACGACGTGAAAATTGAAACTGAACAGAGTGAAACGAAGGATGCCTGCTTGATTTACACATGACAGATGGAGGTCATGTCAAAATAAACGTATATGCTCGACTACGATAACTAAACTTGTTAGCGCATGCTCCTTTGCAGGCATGTGCCATGTTTGTGTGTTTGGTGGCCAACTGTTGAACAAAATGAATAAACGTGACTAAACCTTAAAGGCACTTTTCGTATATTCTCATAGGAACAATTCTCAAGTTTTCGGTCACAGTCTTTGTTCTGCCAACGAGCAAAACAGAGACCCGGCACGAAACTGGCCCTAGGCTTAATTTTTAAAAACTGCAATATCCTGTGTTACCGTGTACACTCATACACTCATATATGCAGACGTAGTCATCGGGTCTGACCTTCATGCCTGTAAGCCACTTTCAATCAATCATGGCTGTCACACATTTCAAACCTAATCATAATCACTTCTGGTTATTCGCGCTTTATTTGTAGCCTGACTGCAGCAGTGTGTCGTATGATAAATATTCTTTGTTTTAAAAAGACAATCAACCATTCTTGAAAGAGCCGTCTCATTTTGAAACGGTTCAGTTTGATTTTAATAAGGAAACAAACTGGCTTTTGGGATGACAATTTCCTGCTGTAAAAAGATCATCTAAGTTGCCATACAGCGCACGGTAGTGTTTTCTTTGAAATCTGCAAAGTACCATCAAAACCCTCTTCATGCAAATCAACTAATACTGGCGGTCCGTGAACAATGCCTCTCACACTTTGCGTGAGTAACAAGATCTGCTATTTTTTTGCAGTGTTGGCTTCTGCTGTTTTCCTAACGAGCACTAAGACCAAAAACAACCTCGTAGGCGGGAAATGTGTCACTGTGTCCAACCTCCAGCTTTCACAATGTGGCTCCTCTCCAAACCAAGCTCCTTGACCCCAATGTCCCCCTCTCCATCTACATGTGGCTTTCCTTCTGCTTTTCCAAGGTAGAACAGCTAGAGGTCAGGATGTGTCGCTCATGCCAGTACCTGTGAGTAGGTGTGTGTGTGTGTGTGTGTGTGTGTGTGTGTGTGTGTGTGTGTGTGTGTGTGTGTGTGTGTGTGTGTGCACGCGCGCGCGCGTGCGTGCGTGTGTGTGTGTCCTCGTCCACATCCATTTAGTGTGAGTTTGTGCAAA